ATCTGGGAGTCGTGGCACTTCTTGAGATTTAAGGCCAAAAGCTATTTGAGTTGTTTTAGATGTGTTTACTGCGAGATCATTGTTATAGCAGTATTGGTAGGCCATGCTGAGTGACACATAGGATTTTACTTCTAGATTTTCAGCTAGTGGTTCATTAAACACTAAGGTTGTGTCATCAGCATACATAAGAGTAAGGCAGGCGTCTCCTATTTGTTGCGGCAAATCATTGGTAAAAAGAATAAACAGTACCGGACCCATAACTGACCCTTGGGGAACTCCTCGATTTATTGGTTGAAAATTTGATCTTGCTTTTCTTATTAGGCTGTTATCTCTGTGCCTTAGTTCTACAAAATGACTCCTGTCTGTAAGGTAGCTTTGAAACCATTCTCTTACTATCCCTGATACCCCCAGGGAATCCAGCTTTTTAAGGATTAGCTGGTGGTCAAGGCAGTCAAATGCCTTACTGAAATCAAGAAAGATTCCTGTTGTTAGATTTCCTTCATCTAGGCTGTCAATCAGGGACTCAACCATCTGAATTATTGCTGTTGTTGTGGATTTCCCTTTGTAAATCCATGTTGCAGGTTGTTTAGTAGGTTGTGATTTGTGCAGTGGTCTAAAAGTCTTTTTAAAACAACTTTTTCATATATTTTGGTGAAGGTGGAAACGAGGGAAATTGGTCTGTAGTTGCTTGCTTCTAATGTGCTACCTTTTTTAAATTTCGGGTATACTTTAGTTATTTTAAGTAGTGAAGGAAAGATGCCTTGTTTTAGGGACTTATTTATCAAATCAGCCAATGGTAGTGCTAGTTCATTGCAGCAATGCTTAAGTATTTTTGACGAGATTTCATCAATTCCAGACAAGTTTTTTGCTTTAAGTTTGTTTATAATCATTTTGACTTCCTTCTCGTCTGTGCTTTGAAAGGAGGAAAACGGTGGACCTGTTTGAGTTACGTGTGGAGTTTGAGCTGTGTACTTTAGGTGTTTTTGTTTCTCTACTGTTTTTTCTCCTACTTGTGTAAAAAATGTATTCAAATGCTCTGCAACATGGGTCACATTACTTATGAGTTGGCCATCTACTTGAAGGGTTATTTCATTTAGGGATGTTTCCTTTTTGGACCACACTGTGTTTATTGTTTCCCAGATAGCTTTAGATTTATTTTCAACTTTCATCAACTGGTCAGAGTTAGCCTTTTTCCGCATCGTTTTCAAGTACAGGTCTTAGTTCTTTTTATTTTCAATAGAAACCCTTCTGTCATCTGGATTTCCCGTCACCTCAAACTTTCTTAGAGCTTTAAGAAATTCGGCTTTGAGTCTCACTGCTTCTGGGTCCATAGAGAATTTTAGTTTATGTTTTCTTTGTGTTTTTGTCTTCTTTTGGGGGCAGGCTGCATCCATAGCTACTCTCACTATGTTACTCAAAGTTTTAAAAGCTTCTTCGGCATTGTTTATTGAGGTAACACTAAGCCAGTTTTCTTGACTGAGAAGATACTTGAGGTCTTGCAGGTTTTTATTTTTTAGAAAGTATTAGAAGATTAGAAATAGAAAGTACCCTTAAATGGAACCGTCACGTTGAACAATTACTCGCTAAAATTTCTTCTGGCCTTTACGCTTTGGTTAGGCTAAACAAATTTTGTGAAAAAGAATCTCTAAAAGTTGTTTATTTCCATCCATTCAGTGATATTATTTGGACTATCTCTATATGGTGCAACTACTAAAGACAACTTAAACTCTATTTTGATAATAAAAAAAAAAACCATTAGAATTATTCGTAATTTACAACCTAGAACTTCAGTTAAAGATTATTTTAAATTAGAAAACATCATGACTGTTTATGGAATGTATGTTTTTAAAACAGTTTTATCCATAAAAAATAGATTTCAGGAATTGGAGCTAATCGGTAACAATCATGAATATAACACCAGAAACCGGGGCTGCATCGCAGTGAGCTCTCACACTCTGGAACTTTTCAAAAAGAAACCCAAATATGCTGGTTCAAAACTTTATAACAAAATTCCACAAAGCATAACAGATGAGGTGTCAAGAAAAAAATTCAAAATTAAATTGAAGCAGTACCTCATCAACAAAGCTATTTATTCTTTCGATGAGTTGTAGGAAGTAATGTCAATTTTTGCATTGTTAATTCTAAGAAACCTCTGTTTTTCATTTTTCAATACCTGTATTTGACACTAATTATGTATGTATTGTATACTACTAACAAATAAAGATTATTTGAATTTGAATTTGAATTTGTATTCGACCTTCTATCTTTAGTTTCAAAACATCGCCGATCTCACGGATATCTTCGGTTAGCGATGGGGTATCGGAATGATGTTTATTAACCAATAATCAAAATTTTCCCTGATCCTTCTCAAAATTCACGTACAATTCACAGATTTTTTCCTGGTCATCAAAATTCACGTTCCTAATTAACAAATTTCATCCTAGCCTAAACCCTGCCTAGGCCTAAATAGGTAGTTTAAGTAATTATACCAAATTTTCTAAGTTATATGGTTACTAATTATTAGTACCTCCTACCTTAGGCCTAATAAAAAATTTGGCCTAGACTACTTGTTGGCTGCAGCATTAAATTATTTAGGCCTACACATCACTTGTTATTGTGTGTTTTATTTTTTCTTGCCTTTAATTCCTCCTCACTAACATGATAATCAGGCCAGGTCCAAATTCACCAACATTTTTGGGGTCGTTTCTAATGTCCAAATTCACCAACTTTCTATCTGGAGCAGGTACGATATTTCTCCCGGCGGGCGGGGAAGGAATTCCCTCCGAATAGTTTACCATCGCCTGCTCCGTCTCGTCTCGGCGAGAGTGTACTGTAACCTAACCTAACCTAACCTAACCTAAAGCTGCCTGAAACAATCACAGCTTAAACAGTACTATTAGGGCTAAGCAGTACACTCTCACCGAGACGAGACGGAGCAGGCGAGGGCAAACTATTCGGAGGGAATTCCTTCCCCGCCCGCCGGGAGAAATATCGTACCTGCTCCAAGTAGAAAGTTGGTGAATTTGGACATTAGAAACGATCCCATAAATGTTGGTGAATTTGGACGTAGCCTGATAATCAACCTAACTAACTAACTTAATAAGGTAAGTTTAAGAATAATTTAAATTCAAATAAGAAACAGAATTTATAAAAATAAATTTATTTATTAAACAGAAAACTTATATCAAACTAGATATTGTATCACAAGTTAAAAACATCAATATGCAATTAGGTATTTTAAAATAGGTAATCACTTGTAAAGGCACTTCATCTGTCTGAAGTTTGAAGTTTATGGGTACTAGGGCTATCCTCTTCACTCAGTACATTTATAAAAATGATCAAGTCACTTGTCTCTGACAGACTGAAAATATCAAACAAAAACATAGTAGGCCTATTATCTCGAAATAAAATCCCACATTAAACACTTAATTTAAAATTAAAACACATTTCACTGTATCCCGGTATAGCCTATTTGGCCTTTCTTTATAAACTCACATTTTCTAGGTTAAGTTACAATTCAAACTGTAGTTGTCGTGTTTCTGCCACCAGATTGAAAATTGCACAATCAAAATCACAAACAGAATATGTTTATTTTACTTTCTATTAAACTTCCACTAACAAAATCAATTTTATTTTAAGTTACAAATTCACTTTAAAGTAAAAACATTCAAAACTGACTTTGACATAACTAAATCACTCCAATCCATTGTTTTGTTGTTACGCCAGCTGTCACCATATCTGCTCTCTCTCTCTCTCTCTCTCTCTCTCTCTCTCTCTCTCTCTCTATCTCTCTCTCTCTCTCTCTAGTCAGTCTGCTGGTCTGCTCATTCTCCTTCTGCTTTGTTTTCCCATCAAACAGCTGTTTTGCAGGGCTGACGTTGCCATATTTATCATTACACCATTATGGTGAATGTCGGCAAAATTATCATAAAATTGCTATAGCTTTTATTTCGTAAAAAAAATTAATAGTTTGACTAATTTTAATCATGTTTATGTAAACTGATTAGAAAATAAATGATACTAATAGTTTGTTTACGCCAATACCACAGTTGTAAAAGTACAGAAATTATCGTCCATCTGGCAATACTGAGTTTAAAGTGGAACTGATCTTTTCTTTCTGCCAAGACTCAATGAGATTGCGTCATTTAGATGCATCGATGTTCCTTGCAGTAACTTATCGGTTTGTAAAACTAAACACCAATACCGATTAATGTGAAAAAATATTATGCTACAATAGGTTATTTTTATTTGTTGTATTTCTATATTTTGGTATAAAATATTTTGTTATTTCTATATTTTGGTATAAAATATTGTTATGGCAGTTCAAACTAAATCTGATACTGTACTTTATAATATCTTCAAGAATCGTCTGCCATTGTTATACTAGTCAGGAACTCCCTTGTTGACTATCGACTATTGCAATTCGATAGATTCATTCAATGCTTTATTTCAACCATTGACTATTATATAGTCAATGTTTCAACTTACTGTATCGTTATCGAGACGTATTGTTGACTGTTGTAGGAAAGAGAAAGTCTGATAAGCCTACTTAACGCGCATCTACTCGACTCGACTCGATGCTCGAGTTTTTACTCAAATACTCGACTCGAATTGAAAAATCACTACTCGCCCACCCCTAGCCAAAACGGCCGTAACGGAAGTTACAACTCATTGAGCTGTAGACAAAAGGTAAATACAATTTTTTGGTTACATCACAGCTCAGGGGCTAAAAATATGGATTTTAATTTGTAATTAGGTGAGCTAGTCAGTAGTCAAAGATTGCACTAGTGTCTTAAAATTCTATCTTCTACTTTATTTTTTGTTACCAAGATAGTCGATGTTACATAAAAGATGAAATAGCTAACAAAAAAACCATCCCTTCAGTTTGACTTGGTTAAAAAGTCTGCATATCTGACAGAAATCAGTAATTTACATCAGCGCAATCTGACAGTTGCTCACTTTAACTTGGGAATGTAATGTCCAGTCAAGTATAAACTGACCTGTGCCAGATGTATCTGTGCTAGTATGAGATGTGCCTCAGTGTTGGTGGAGTCCACACGTGTTAAGACGTGTTGTACTGTCTGTGTAGCCTTGCTGTGGTCCCCCAGCGTGGTGTAGGCTCGTGCTAGACTCAGTGATACACTAGTCAGTCCAGGACATGCCTCAACCAACTGCCTCAGAACACTCACTCTCTTATGCAGACCTTCTTTCTGCAAATTTTATTAAATACTTCAACTTTTATAGAGCCATTATGGAATCATATTTATTTACAATACAAATTATTAGAAGGAGAACAAATGATGATTAAAGTGAATCAATAGAATATAGATTAGTAAGAATAAAAATACTAAAATACTATACCAGATACGTTTTTAGATTCAAGATATCATGTACACCATTCAATAAAATGGAGTTAAGAAAATGTATTGAAATAGAGACAGTTTTTCTTTTGAGAAAATAACTATTTAAATTTAATGACTTAAGGAAAAAGTATACTCAGTTTGGGCTAGGGACTTTATTTATTTTTTTATAATTATAACAGCTGGTGATTTATCTACAATCTCTATTTATTTTTTTGAATGTTGTAAGATAAGTAGAAAAGAAAAGTCGCAGGGTCGACATGAACTTACACACTTTATATAACCGATTAAGTTTCAAAACATAATTTAATTTTGATTTAACAATGAACAAGAACAAAAAAAAATTAAACCAATATTTATAATTACTTTTTTTAATTAGCGAACTTATAAATTATAAATTTAAGTAAGTTTGTGTTGTAAAATTAGCCTTAGGCAGGTCTGAAGAGAAAAGAAGCTGTAAAAAAAGCCATTCTGCAATGGACCGGTTACTTACACTTTCTGGATATTGAGTAACAAGTTGTAACAGCAGATCTGGATTCAAGGAGCGTAAGTAGTGTGGACCGTACGGCTTGGGTGCAGCTGTCGAGTGTACTAGAGCCACGGCCTGGTCGAGTGTGTCGAGCGTAGTGGCAGCATTGGGCTGACATTGGGCCTTCAACAGTAGCAGCTCAGGGGTGGGAGAGGAACCACAAACCTCCATCAGGAACTCTACTTGTTGTAGAACCTGCCAAGCAATTTAATATTCAACCATACAGTAAATCTTATGATGCACAAGAACTTACAGAAGCATATAACAGAACACTTTATGTTTTAAAGGTAAAAGAAATTGTTCATGTGAATTTTAATTGGTGTTCAAAAATCGTTTACAGTCAAACAAATATTCATTACTAAAATGTCAAAGTTGAACTAAGTCAACTAAGTATAAATAAAGGCCTTTTTATTTATTTAAGTACATTAATAAATAACGAACTTTGACACATTTATTAATTGACAAATGTATGCTGGATAGTGCCAGATACCTGATCAGTAGGTCCAGACTGAGCCAGCTGAGTTGCTGTCAATCCTGTGAGTGACTCTGTGCCTGTCGGGTTCAGCTTTGTAACTTGACGGTATAGTTTCCCTGCCTCAGCCAACTTGCCACATAGTCTGTGCTGTGTTGCCAACTCCAACAGGGCTTGTGCGCTTCCAAACTTATTCTCATTAGCTCTGAAAGTTAAATTATTTAACTAAATAAGTAAGCTAAAACTTGTCCTTTTTGCATTACCATTATTGATAATCGCTATTTGGGTTAATTTTCATATCAAAGGTTAATTTGGTTAGAAAAAAAAGTTTAACATGGAGAAGCGACACTGAGAAAATTATGAATGTCAGCCAACAATCACCGATGGAGCACGTTGGCCGCGATGTGAAGCCAGTATTTTTCACTAATCTTCACCAAGATGGCAGCTGCCGGCTGAGATGAGCCCTAGTAGCGCGCGCAACTAATTAAATGTTAGTTGATAGCAATGATATCCGTGACAATACGCCTTTGTATTACAAATATTTCTATTACTAACACAATGACCTTCAAAATATGCTTTTAATTTTTTTTTGCGTTTACCGTTTGTTAGAAAAAGTTAGTTTACATAATTAACAACAAAAACTTTTTGGGCGAAAGAAAAATTCTGAATAGCTACAAATTAATTGATAATATATGTATCTATATTGTATTGTTTTATTAAGTTCTGGCATTTGGTTTACAATGTAAGAATTTTCAAAGTCACAAGATAGTTTCTGAAACTCTTTATACAACTTTCCTTTATATTCTGCCTGTCATATTAATTTTTGTGAAAGAGCTAAAAAATATTAATTTTTAGATGAATACCTAAAAAAAATAACACGAAGAACATTTATATGTACTCCATGTTCTTCTAATTAGTTTTTTAACTTTTCTGTATAGCTCCAAACTTGAGTACCTAAACTGTATTACCTACAAGTAAAGCTGGCATCTAGCGCTTCTAACCTAAAGTAAGATAGGCGTGCTCCATCTATTGGTCTTATGTGATCGTTGATGTCAGCAAACCATAGTTAGTTATTACAGATGACTAGGATGTTTACCCAACCTCATCAATGACAATGTAAAAGAATCAGCAAGAAGAAGGTATTCATGAAGAATTAATACTAAAATGATAAGAAAATTAATACTAATTTTTTAAAGGATTTTTTTTTACACTTTTTTAAACAATATTTTAAATTATAAAATTATCCTGTCATATTAAACTGCCACGCCAGTGATGTTTTTTAGAGCAGGTTAGGGAGATTGATTTCAAGTACAGTGGAGTCCTGATTCCAAAGATTTCTCAATCCACAACCTTATTAATTAGCTAAAATGATTGATTATTAAAATAATAAAAACTTTGTGGTGTAATTATAATAGAGAAGAAAAAGTTGAGAGAATTTATTTATATTAGAGGTTGATTTATTAGGAGAAAAAATGAGTACGTGTTGTTATGAGAAGTGATTTGAGGCGAATGAATGCAACAATGGATATGGTCATGTGTTGGAATTACATGGACTATTAAAAAAAGACATTTAAAAACTAATACATAAAACAAAGACATGTTACGTCAAGTGTCTTTGTTTTATGTATTAGTTTTTAAATGTCTTTGTTTTTGTTTTTAACAGTCCATGTAATTCCATCACATGACCATATCCATTGTTGCATTCATTTGCCTCAAATCACTTCTCATAACAACACGTACTCATTTTTTCTCTTAATAAATCAACCTCTTGTATATAAATTCTCTCTACTTTTTCTTCTCTATTATAATTACACCAAACATTTCTGGTCCTATCGAGCCGCGGATTATATCTACGAGCATTAGTGCGACTTTTTCTCAAGTTTATTTTCAATGTCTCGGTTAAACGTAATTCCTCCAACGTGAAGCCGCGCCAATGACAATACCGCATCGCCATTTTAAACTTTTCGTCTACGTCACACTACAGTCCACACTCCTCTCATTCCAAGTGTTCAACATCGTCAGCATCTGCTAGTTCCGCTCCGCATTCATCACTTCGACTTCATTTCGTCTACAACTTCAACTTCAAACGTCATGAAATTGAAAAGTAAGATTACTTTGAAGACAATGAAGACAAGGCACCGTATCTCATCGTAAGTAAACAATAAATCAATATCAACACTGAAATAATAAAGAAACCCTGATTTTATTCCTCAGTTGTCCTTATACTAAAATCACTCTATCCATTTACAATATCTCAACTACTTATTGAACTCATTAAAGAACGATCTAGGCCTAACATTCAAAATTAGATTTCCACATTTTCTAATAGATGCAAATTCCAATTAAATAAATTAAATACGATCAATGAGTATATTCAATCGTGTCCATCAGAAATAACAGAAGCTCAAACCGCTAAACTTAATTTTTTTTTGCACGAAGCTAAAACAATTTCTGCCAACTTTGAAGCTACCCTTGATAAGCTTCTTGCTGTTGATGACGATACTAACGTTTTTTCTAACAATAAAGAACCTATTTTAAAGCTCCAGGACGACATATCAGAACTCTCAATAAACATTCAAACCAAAATTTCTCTTCTAATTCAGAATTTTAAATATGAACACTTGCCAAATAACTCGGTAACATCAAACCCAACCTCTAGGCCTACTCGTAGCATTGTAAAATTGCCTAAGCTAGAACTGAAGTCCTTCAATGGTGACACTATGACAAGGATTTCCTATATTAACCTTTTTGATACTACTATCCACAACAATAGTAGCTTATCCCTTGTTGAAAAACACCAGTACTTGATAAGTTCACTTGAAGGTGAAGCCTTACACTTAATCAAATCTTTACCGATCTCATCTGGCAACTATTCAGTAGCCTATAATGCTACATTAACTAGCCAAATGAATGCCAATTGATGCAAATAAAATTGCGACAGAGAGGTTATGCAGAAAATCAGGTGTAGTTCTTAGTCATGTAAACAAAATGTTATCGCTATAAAAAATTTACTGAAATTTGTAAATGTACTGGCGACAATGGGTGGTACTGTACCATGCAGACTACATTATTATTGACGAAGATCAACACGGACAACCTAATACGGCTAAAAGTGGGAAACATTTAAAAAACTAGATCAGCTTTTGAAAAATGATAAAATATTTACAAAAAATGTTTATTATATGGAACTGTTAGTATAGGTACATAATCTATGAGATGAATCTTTTAAACTCATCGGAAATTATGATGAGTTTTATTTGTTTTTAAATAACTACTTAACTCCTTTGTAATTGCTCGATTTCGAGCAACGAGTTTACTAGTCTATTAATAAAGCGTAACCATTGACTTTGGATACAGAAGAAGACATCCTATCTATATGGATCAGCTGTCGCCATTTTTTTACTGAAAAAGAATGTAGTTGTGTGAGCCAGTCACAGATTGCGCTAGTGTCAAAAACTCTATTTTGAACCTTATTTTTCGTTACTGACGTAGTTGCTGGGTCACAATAGTTGCTATAGCACATAATAAGTCATTCTATCAGTTTGACTTGGTAAAAACCATAATGTAATTGGCAGAAATCAGTAATTTAGATCAGCGCAATTTTTAGGTATCTTACATCAACTAAGACAAATTTTATTAAAAACCTGGCTACAACTTTAACATGGGGATGGAATGTCTAGTTGTTGTATTCATAGTCAAAGGCGTAACACAAATGTTAGTACATTTAGTAGTTTGGTCCAATTTGAAAATTTAAGCAGAAAATCAGGAGTTTCAGAGGAGGTGAGCACAATGAGAGGATCCTATTTTAATTCTGGAATTTCATTTTCCTTGAGAAAAATTGAGTCATCTGAAGGCCACTGTGACGGATTATTTGCTAACCAGGTGGGTCCTGTCCACCACAGGGGATGATCTTTCAACAACGAGGGAGAAAGTCCACGAGAAGCACAATCGGCTGGGTTGTCAGCACTTCTCACATGTTTCCACGAATTTATAGGAGTCAACTCTTGTATCTCTGCGACACGGTTAGAGATAAATGTTTTCATTTTGTACGGGGGTGTAACTATCCATGCTAGGACAATGGTTGAATCACACCAATTTTGAATAAATTCTATTTGGTAGTTAGAAGAGTATGTATAACGAAATGTGATGATGATAAAATGATATGTCATGTCATATGCCATACATTTCAGAAGATTGCTTATATTTAGGGTCTATAACTTTATATTCGTATTTGGTTATTAGTGTGGTGATTAAATTTCTTACAATCTAAAATTACGTTTTTCATACACACGCTACTACATAAGCAGATGGTTTATTGTTTTACAGTATCTTATCTTATATTGTTTTATTGCTGTCAGTCAAAATAACATTTTTACGCTGATACTCGTGATTCTTCCCATTTTATCTTTTTCTCTTAGCTATCTTTAATCTACTAGCGTGATGTATACCCTACGTGCGAGTGCGGTTGCTCGTGACTTTTTTTTAATGTATTTATTATATTCTAGAGTGACATATAAACATTTATACACTGTAAATAAGAAATACGGGCGATGAAAGTTCCGCGTGGTAATATTTATTTGACATAAAATGAGGTTACTAACCTGTCGGCAATCAGTCCTCCAAGACAATAGAGGACTGATTGACGACAGGTTAGTAACCTCATTTTATGTCAATAGATCAATCCTGGAGGCAAATTATGTATAAAATATTTATTTACTTAGAAAACGGAAACATTGTGCAGTGTAACATTGGTAAGGCCAGTTTAAAACATTAAAGTACTCAACGAAGGGACTTCTAGCTCATTTAAAATGGCTAAAAAGTTAAGAATCATAATATTATATAATCGGCTGAGCTGAATCCCGAAATCCCGGGGTTGGATTGAAGGCCCGTGATTGAGACCCCTAGTCCAGTAACATTAAATGAGGGATCTGCTAGGCTATATTTTCTGACATGATCAATTACATCAGGATGCACTTGTAATTTTGGGAGTGGTGAAGCAATTTTCAGAAATGTGTGGTTTAATTATAATAGAGAAGAAAAATTCGAGATAATTTATATAAAAGAGGTTGATTTATTAAGAGAAAAAATGAGTACGTCCCATGAGACGTGATTTATGAGAAGTGATTCAAGGCGAATGAATGCAACAATGGATATGGTCATGTGATGGAATTACATGGACTGTTAAAAACAAAAACAAAGACATTTAAAAACTAATACATAAAACAAACACACTTGACGGAACAAAAACTCTGATGAATATGACAAAATACTAATAAAAGTCCTTTTTTACCAATTAAATCCAATTTTTAACAGGAGACACAGGGACGCTAGACCAGGCAACTGATACAGCAAGTCCAAACTTGGGTTAATCAGTGGTACAAAGAGGTGCACTACTATTAATTACCTAACCCAATTCATAACCCTGTATTGGGTAACGGCCTTTTTCTGGTTGTACCTGTTCAGCATGGGCAAAGACTTGTCACCCGATTGCATCTACTACCCGGGCACTCCCGATGTTGTGGAACATACTTTCTTCCGCTGCCAGCATTGGGAAAGGCTCCGCCTGGAGGCTCAACAGTGTGTAGGATTGCTGTCGGTGGATACGGTCATCCCGATGTACAACAGAGAATAGGGTTTTTTATTGAGCAGTCTGATAAATTAAGGAGTCTCACTTTCTACAATATCTCTCTTGTTGTTGGTGGCTGGCCACCATTTTCCCTTCTCTATGAAAAATTGTTTGAATAAAAAAGTTTTTCTTATATTTACCTTTTAGTTCTGGTATTATGTGCTGATGTTGGTCAATAATATCAAATAGGCCTAACTTTAATTTTAATATAACTGATTCAATATTGTTGGGTCATATCAGTTTCTGCCACGCAAGACTATATAAATTTAAAAATTTACAGAATTTTTACGTACAGAACAGAATTTTATCAAGGTTGCACATAATGGAAAAATCTAATAAAAATGTGTGGCCATAAGTTCTTCAATGGTGTAAAAGATCATTTTGAAATTTTCCAGCACTACATTCAGAAATTTCTCAGCTACATCATTAACCTTGGTAAAGACCATTTGGTAGATAATAGGTGGTTGGATTTGTTTGATAATAGTTGAGTTAACCTGTTTTTTTAAAGATTATGTCAATCATAACATATAAATGTAACCAACAAACCACTTGTAAATTTCTTATTATGACGCTTGCTTGTACTGTTATCAATGAACATCTCAATAAAGATCACTGTCTATTGACTTAATTATTTCAAAACCAAATTCATCCCTCTTATGTTTGCTTGTTTAGGCTAATATAACAATTCCTTCTCCATTTTTGGTTCACGCAAACTAATCTTTGTGGTTTTGTTATTGTTATTTATTAGTGAATGGTTTTACACAAATAGTTCCCATTGTAATTATAGTAGTAAAACACATTCTTTCCTTATCAGTAACCAGATGCTTATCAGTTTGCTTCATTGATAAGGAGTTTTGCAGTTTACAATTGATTTTATGTGAATTTACTTAAGACATACATTTTCTAACACACTTGTTAAAATAATGTTCATTGTGGCTTACGTTATCTGTTATTTTTAACAATGAATGAGTTGACATTATTAAAATGGATTGTAATAGTTGTTTTAGTGCTATTGAAATTCTCAGTAATGGTAAATACATTAAATTACTTCTTAGTAATTAACATTTTGTCTGAATTAAAAATGAGTGATTCTCAAATAGTAGTGCTATGCGTATTAAAACTAGCTACGTTTGGTTGAGTTTACTTTTGAAACGCTGCTTAATTAAATCTCAACTTTGGATCTTTTGAATTTTTGTACAGAAAGTTGTTTTTAATGGTAAAAGTTCAATGTAAATAGAGTAAAGCCAAAAATTGTTTAATGATGTTCAATCCGTGGGCTAAAGACATGTTTATATTCTAGGGTGAGGAAGTACAAACCAAGGTAAGTGGACAAACAACTCAAACATGTATGGATTCCTCAGACTTTGCGCAAGTAGTCAAAACATCTTACTATGTGGACAAAACACTCTTCATCAAAGACATCTTCCTTTCAGCTAAAGTAAACATGGTCGCAGCTCCAAGGAAGTTTGGAAAATCCACCAATCTCAACATGATCAAGAGGTTTTTGGAAATTGAAATGGATACCAACGGTCAACCTATGAACATTACAAGCACTTCCAACTATAAAGTATTTGTAGAGAACCATTTACAAATAACCAAAGATGAACGATTCTTCAATCAGCATTTTGGTAAACACCCAGTTATATACATAAACTTTAGCTCCCTGAAGACAGTTGATAGTTATAAGGATTTGTTGAAGGAGTTCCGAAAAATAGTTACCAAAACATTTGCTTACCACACTTATTTAGTGAAAAATGCTTCCATATGGAAAAGTGAGGCTGAAAAAGAAACTTTTGTCAAGTACATAATCAGGCCAAAAAGTAAAGAACTAAAACTAGAAGATTTACCCTTTGTTTTTAAATGGTTAACCCAACTTCTTCATAACAGATTTGGAAGGAAACCGGTTGTTTTAATTGATGAGTGTGATGCTTTTGTCTATCCACTGATTTTTAAGAGTGCTAAGGACTTGGGGAGAGTCAGCAGGTTTATGATGAAGACGGAAGAATCCTTATTGGTCTCTAATGAGCATATTGATAGAGGTCTTATGACTGGAGTGTTGAATACCTACAGAGGTGACTTAGCTGATGATATTTACGACTACCACTTTCTTGAAGATTACCAGTTTAGTCTCTACTATGGGTTGACAGAAGATGACCTTGCTATTTTATTGAAGAGACTCGTTCCTGATGATGTAAAGAGAAGTCAGCTGAAGAAGACTATTGATGAGTTTTATGGAGGCTACAAGATTTATAACAAAAACTGTACCTTGACTAATTCTCACACTAATATTTACTGTATTTGGTCTGTTATATATTTTCTTACCCACCATCATTATATGATCAATTATCTCTGCCCACCTGAGTATTATGACCAGTTTCAAAATATCTTTAAAAACGATGAAGTAAAAAGTGTAGTGAAGAGCTTACTTGAAGGAAAACAAACACACTTGGACCTTCGAGAGCCGTTTTACAAAGAGGACATTTTAGAACTTAACAACCTTGTTAAGAATATCAATACCACTGGTGAGTTCAGAAGATCTACAGTGCCTCATTTACTTTACAATTTTGGTTATTTAACTCCAGTTGTGGACAATAATGGTTTTTCTATAGGAAGATACAAGCTAGCTAATAAGGAAACATTATGTGAACTAGAAAAATACATCAGTGCATAGTAAATACAGGGTGATGAACGAGAAAAAACAAATATTCTTGTGATACAAAAATGTGTTTTTTAACCTTAAAAATATTAAATGACACATTTTAGAGTAAGTTATAACTAATCTTTAAACAGGCATTTATTAAAAGTTATAGGTATTTAGTTTCTCAAAGTATTATTTTACTCATGTCTGTCTCCTTGTTTTCATATAAAATGCAGGCATATAGTAAGATTAAAGATGTGATAATTTGCCTTAAAAATCAATATATTGTACTGCCTAGCTATTTACTATATACTGGACAGCCTAAACTAGTGCAGGGCCAGATTATAGATTAAACCCTTAGTTTGGAAAATGAAGCCTTTTGCTCTTTTTATCTTCTCAACACGAGAGAATTTAACTTTTGTTAAAAATGTTGCCACCAAACACATGATTTAATACCCCCGCCGTAGCAAACCTGCAGACTAAGCGAATTTCCATTAACCAGGCTGGATTTCTACTAAAATATTCCCTTAAAATTGACAGATTTATTTCCTATTTAAATAACAACTAGTGTACCTGTTGCTCGAATTCGAGCAATTGCGAAGCATTATAGGCGACTTAAAGATTATGGAAATACTCACGAACTATACAACAGTTAGATATAATCAAAATTCTTTGTAAATATCTTATCTTTTTTCAAAAAGCTGGTCTCGTTTTTTTAGTGTTTTCTACAAATTTTCCCCTCTCATAGCCGCATTAGGTTGTCTATAATAACGATTATAAATGAAAAAAATAAACATTATTTCTATTTCTTCTACTTAGTTGTGTTCTATGACTTTTTCTGTGTTTCCATTGTTTGCAAATCGGTTATTTCAATGATTGCTCAAGAAATGTAGCACAGTGTTAATTCAGTTTTATTTTTAGCCTATATCAAATTGTCCAGGATTTCTCGATCTTTTCCATTGTAATAATTACACCAACCCAAGTTTCATCTACAGATGCAATATGCCAGAGAATATCACCTATTGGATACATACATTAATCTCCAAGAAGTGGCAAAAAAGGCAGAAACGAACCCATAAAATAGATATAAGTTAACTCCATAAGAAATAATTTTAAGAGTTACTGTGATAACTTATTAGGATTTTCCACTGATTTGGTAATAGATCATTATATTGCAAAACATGACACGATGCAGAAGGAATCAATTTTAAAATCAGAAAAACCCATTGCAAATACTGTACTATTTTGACAAATTCAATCAATCACAATTTAAATATAACAGCTGTTTCATAAAAAAATAGTGTAGAACTATGCATATGGTCGTAATGTAAACAAATCTGAAGAGGTAACTTTAAAGGCTTCTGGGGCAGAACCCTAAGGTAATTTACCTCGTTCTTCTTTTGATTGCTCATCTACATACCAAGACCTTTCTTTAGAGACCCCTACCAAGTTTCTACGCCCAGCCGTTCTCTCAAATTAGCTGTGACAAAACCCCCGTTTTCCTCCATAAGAATAACATGGGATGGGAATTTAAAGGCCACTGGGGCAGAGCCCCAAGGAAATTCACCATGTTTCTCTTTTGATGGCTCATTTACAGACCAAGACCTTTCTTTAGACACCTCTACCTAGTTTCTACGCCCAGCCGTTCTCTCAAAATAGCTGTGACAAAGAAAAACAGTTTCAAATTAATATATAGATAATTTTAGTGAGTACTTAGGTTTGCTGCTACAGGGAAGGTATTTAGGTGTTTTTTTTGTTGTTTTATTACTGAAATGTAAATAGCTTAGAATTAAATAAACAAAATTGCCAAATTTGATTAGAATATATCCAACAAGCAAACTACAAAAGTTTTTTTTTAATTCTCCATAAGAATAACATGGGAATTTTTTATTGAATGAACGAAGTGAATTCTCATACTGGTGCGAGATGCATCTTGCTGCTGTCCGAAATCTCGAGAATGACTAAAGTTATAAACTTGATGTGTTACACAAAGATTCTATACCACAATATCTTGCGACCTTTTGTTGTTGAAATATATTTGTTCCGTAATTATTATTAAATCTTAAAAAAACATTTTTAATTTTGCCCCATAAGATTAACATTAAGAGCTACCTTCTTCTTCTTTTTATTGGTTTACGTTTTAAGACCTACAGTTTTGTTGTTTACTAGGGACAAAGAGAACGACCTTAACTCTTTCATCCATAGAGTAACAGTTATACCACAAATTAAACATACTGGGAGCATGTTTAATTTATGGTTATACTGTTTTCACATTATAACTCAACAATTTCTGGAATAATAATGTATTTACGAAAATACTGGTAGGGGTTAACCAATTATCTACCGAAATGTATTGCAATTGATTGAAAATAAATATTTACATGAACACGTTTATTCTACAGGCTACGTTTCTTTAGTAGTACGACGCAACGGTCGACGAAGGGGTGAGTCTACTATTGTTTCCTAGCTTGCTAAAAGTTAAGTTTTAGCAGTTTTAGCGTTGACCATTGACTATTGGATACTCTTTGACTAATTAATACAACTTCAGTTTTCCATAGTCAATGGTTTTAGTTATTTTCGTTCTGGTTAGTGGTTTTTCTAAAATAAAAATGCGTCGTTGGCTTTATTTATTTAATTGTCAATCAGAGATTCAAATTTTGCCCTGGAATATTTAGTTACTTTATATAGTTAAATATTTATATAGTATATTTATATAGTAGTTATTTATATAGTGGAATATTTAGTTAATTCATATTATTGTTAATATAACGATTTAACATGCTAAGATTTGTAATCAAATAAGTTAGGCTAAGGTTTTTTTTTTTTAATATAATCTTTATTTCATCGGTCGTCTGCAACTCACTCACTCAGAATCAGAATCTGAATCGTTTATTGACTCACTAATTCAGAATCAGAAAATATTGCATTAGGTTTAATGCATTCTGCTATTGATGATAAGGCGGTAACCTAAGTAGATTTTAAAAGTTTGTGAATAAAATCCTATCCATTTATATCAAGTAAGTAATTCAATCAAATTGCATTTTCAACACAAACCTCATAAGTTAAGTTTAACCTAGGCCTCCAACAAGTAAACTCAGTTCGGATGAAGAATGGATGAAACTCAGCCAATGGACACAAGAATATCAATAGGAAGGAACTATCCTGAATTTGGCCTGAATGAGTGACAAATTTTAGTGAGTTTAATATTGAACTCTCAGTCGACTATGTGCCAACCGAGCTTATGGACACTTCACCAAGTATTGAACACAAATAGGCCAATAAGTTGGAACCTACTGCTTAAAAGAGCTAGCCCACTTATAATAATGCTGTTAAGGGCCCATAACAAAGTAGGACTAGGCTTAGATAACCAAGAAAAAAAGATCAAGACGTACGAGCAGACATAAAATTGGGCTCACAAGTCTTCATTGATTGTACCAAGGCAGTGGAAGAATGGTGAGACAGACAGCATGAGGTAGGCCTAGATCATCTTAACTTCAAAAATATAGCCTAAACATTATAAGCTTTTGAAGGAAGGCTGTGAAGCGAGGAAGTGTTGTGTCATGTGAAGTGTTTGTGTCAAGTGTGTCTGTTAACAAAAATTGCCTAGACGGCCGTGTTCCCTAGCCTAGGTATGGCATGTCAAGTGTTTTGTTAAAATCTCTTTCTAATGTCACAGTACTTTGTTTATTTGTTCATACAACAATCTCTGCTTAATGTGTTTTTCACTGACGAAGAGTGTAGGCCTAGCTAGCAAGTTAAAACTAACAAATGTAGGCCTTAATAAGCCTACCTAGACCTAAAAAGGTAATGTATATCTTTCTTCTAGCTACAAGACCTGTGTACTTAGTAGGCCTACTTAGGTTAAGTTACCTATTTTCAGGGGAACAGTTTCGCAGAGAACCTAGCCTACCTATTTTATAAGATGAAATATTTGTTTGATATAGCCTATAAGTTTAGGCTATAACATATCTTAATCAGTTCATTTCTAAGTGATACAGAATCAGAATCAGAATACTTTATTCTTGAACATAGAGTACAGAATAGGCGTCAAACATTACAGAGATTTAATTATAAAATAGCATAAAGTTGTTGGGCTTTGAGACGCTGTCGGTAGTGATGGTTATTTCTATGAGGGTTGTTTAGTCCTCACTGGAACATTGGTGAAGTTCTCCAGTTCATGAACTCCTCAACTGTGTAGAATGGTCTCTCCACAAGCCAAGCCGATAAGCGTTGTCTGGTGCTACTTATGCTGGGGCCTTTTATTGTCTCTGGGAGCAGGTTCAGGAACTTCACTCCCATGTATGAAGGCATTTCTTCAAAAAGAGTTAGATGATGGACTGGAAGTGTGTAATTCATAGCCTGTCGGGTGTTATGGCTGTGCCTATCCGTACCTCGTTGGAGCTGTAGCCTGCTTGCGTGAGTAGCCACAGCTAGGATGTACAGGCTTGTAATCGTTACGATTTTTAGCTCACGGAATTTTGGTATGTGACTTTCTCTCTTATCCATGTCTGCTATTATTCTTACTGCTTTTTTCTGGTGGATAAGCACATGTTGGAGGTTGGTTGCCGATGAGTTTCCCCATACTTCAAGGCCATATTGAAGATGTGATTCAAACAGTGAGTGGTGGGCGGCAATCTTGGCTATGTTGGTGTCACTTATGGTTTTTATCCTTCTTATCACGTAGACACTGCTACTCAGCTTACTACACAGGCTGTCAATATTGGGGGTCCATGTCAGTTTCTGGTCTATTATAAAACCTAAATACTTTGCTTCTTCTGGGCCTTCGATGTCTGGGATCCTGCATACCCCACCATTTCTCCTGCCAAAGACCAGTTGTTGTGTTTTCTCTTCATTAACTACTAAGCTGTTGTTTTGGCAATACTGTATTGCCATGTTTATGGAAACAAACGAGCTGATTTCAAGGGCTTCAGGGTTTTTTTCCCCCAAGGAGGAGTACGGTAGCATCTGCATACATAAGAGTCTTGCTGTAGTCTTCCAAATAGTGAGGGAGATCATTTGTAAACAAGATGAAAAGGATGGGGCCCAGCACAGAACCCTGTGGAAC